AAGCTTCATTTAGTGACATCCCATTCAAAAATCTCGTACAAGAAGCGAAAACTAAAGCAAGTAGAGAAAAACTTAGAAGAGTGAAATTCGACGATAAGAAATCAAGTTGCTGATTTCATTCAAGTTCCAGCAGAATCTTTGGAAGTACAGGAAGGAACTTCTGGACAAAATATTGCCATAATGGAACAGAAAAGCAAGGATTTATCTGGACTCACTAGTTTTCTTGATGAATGAGAAATTGAAAGTTTCAAACCGGGCCAGAAAAAACAAATATCGACAATGGTGCCTCCTTCTTGGGCAATCAAGAAAACTCGTGAAATTTTTAATGTTTCAGAATATATGGCTTGGCAGGCCAGGAAAATAGCTGTGAAGAAAGGAATTATGGAGTTACCAGAAAGGAAACGGGGGAAAACAGTGTCGAAAGAAACTGAAAAAATGATGACAGCATTCTACTGTGATGATGAGTATAGTCGAAAAATGCCGGGCAAAAAGAACTTTGTAAGCCTTCAGAGGAATGTCTATATGCAAAAACAACTTCTCCTGTGTGGACTTAGAGAGCTTTACAAGGTAGTTAAAGAAAAAAATCCCAATTTAAATATAGGATTTTCGAAATTTTGTTGCCCTGGGCCAAAATGGTGTGTACTTGTCGGCTCTTCTGGGACACATTCAGTTTGCAGCTCTACCATGCATATCAGAAGATCGCTTTGATATTGAATGCAGTCAAATTAGACAAGTCCTACCATGATCTCATCGATATGATTGTTTGTAACTGAGATAAGCAAGATTGTTTGCTTCACCGGTGTGACAGATGTCCAGGTATTCACAATCTGAGAGCTTATATCAAAGAAAAACTTTCCAATAATGATAATGATGGAGCTGGAAGTGGAGAAAGAGATGATTTTGATGAGGAGGAGCTAAGGTTTCAACAATGGACAATGGTTGACAGGTCGCATTCAATTGCTGTCTTGTTGTCAGTAAACAAATTTATCGACCAGCTAATTGACAAATTAGATGATATAATGGCACACTCTTTTATTGCTAAAGCACAAATAAGGTTTCTTAAGAAATGCAAAGAAATTCAAAAAATTACAAATTTATGATTCAAGATGAGGTGCAAAGTTATCATTGGAATCAACAATCATTCACTTTGCATTCTATCATCTTGTATCACATCTTGTATTCTTTGCACAGTAAATGCACCTGTAACAGCAACTGGTCATCATTATCATTTGCAGGAGATTGATATAAAAAAAAATTGACAAGATTCTGAAAAAACAGATCACTGACCAAATTTAAAGATGCTCAGACATTTCAGTCCAATAACTTATTAGTTAGACCATTAAAACTGACTTTAGAACTTCATCAAGCTTCTGTAGTTCATGTAGATAATATTCAGTTTTATTATAGAATTAACCTCAATATAGTTTTAAGCACTCTTTGAAATTGAACAGCAATTACCAATATATCATGTGAACTAGCATTTAGGCATATTCACTTTATAATTTAGTCAATTTTCAAAGGACTATTACTTTGGAATAGGAAAAAAATCATCTCAGGTTTTTAATAAAGTAAACTACATGGTTTGAAGAGTATTTGCTCCAAATTTGGTGTTGATAAGTTTTGTCAAACATTGGATTCCAATAATTTCAAAAAACAGGGCATGAATCCTTTCATAACTCTTAAAATTCTTTTGTAGGAGGGTTTAAAGGGTAATTGCTTTAGGATACAAGTAAAAGCTGATCCCATATTAGGATTCCTTATACTTGAATTAGTGGGAGGAAAAATCTTGGCCCAATTACAATAAAATTGGGTAAAATTATGAAAATAATTACAATGGTATAGGGTATTTGTGAAAATCAAAAATGGCCACCATGAGCAATTTTTGACCAAATTTGAATAAAATTTAAATTTTTCTATTTCCGGAAGGAGAAAAAATTTTGCAAAAAAAATTTGCAGGTATACTTAACCCATAGATAGGTACCATCAGTTAAAAATGGGCCAATTTTGAGACATTGGGTGTCATGCCCTCAGTGATTTGACATGGAATGACATGGGAGCCTTTTACTGAGAAAGTCTGGAAACACCTGCTTTATGGTATTGTGAATGTTGGATAGCACTGTCTCAAATACTGTCCATTGCCTATCAATTATATTGCTATTCAGCATATCTGACCCAAATGGGAGCAAAAGTTGTCAAGCTCATCAGATTCAGTTCAGATGTAAAATTCTTTGATTACAGTGCCATGAAAATTTTAAATCCTGAGAATACATTATTGTATTATTTACTGTGAAACCTTACAACAGTAAAAACTTAGTAATGGTTTTCCACTTCCTTAATCATACAGTGCAAGTAAAGAATGTAAAATAAATTTAAAAACAAATATCAGTGTTCCTTTTGGTTAAAACTATATAAATGCAAGAAAAACTAAATGAAGAAAGCAGCTTTTAATGCATGTTTCAAATTAAAATTTTGTAAAAGTAAAAGCTATTAATAAATCACTAAACTTTCAATTATTTTAAATTTGCAGAAATGTAAAATATATGCTTTTCAAAGAAATTTTAATTTCACACAACTTTAATACTTAAAAAAAAAAGAAACAAAAAAAACAATCTACAAATTAATATTACCCAAAATAAATACTTAAATTTTTATCACTGGAAAAAAATTACTTGCAGAGTGCTGTACATGATCTTTGGTGCCAATTTTCATAATCATTTTTTTCTCTGGCCATAACTACAGCCTTGTTGCTAAACGGGTTAAAAGTCCTGACACATTTTGCAACTCAGTTACAAGTGCTGATAATGCGTAAACCAGCCCCAGAGTGCAGGTCATTATTTTCTTTTTTGGTAGTAACAAGACACAAATGATGGATCTGCAGATCCATAGTCCAACATGCAAACCACTGGACACTTGGCTATTTTTGCACATCAAACATACTGTAGTAGTATGCATTTTAACTTTTATTATACACATTTATGAATTTAATGAATTAAGGGTAAGTGACCATTACCTACAACTAAGAGAAGACTGATACACTCCACATTCCATTCATATATCTTTTTTAGGTACAACCTGCTATTTTTACTTATAAGCTGACAAAACAAAGTTTGCTTCTAAAGAGATTATAATTTAAAAATAAATAAATCTTTTTTGTTAATCATCATTTACTAAAAGACAAACATGTTCAAAATGCACAGATTGCACTTAAGTACAGTCATAAAGACCCTATTCTCCTTATGAACTAAAATAAATTGATATTAATAATGTGTGAAATTAATATTTCCAGCTAATCACTTTGCATCAACAATCTGTATTTTACCTTCTTTGCTAATAAACCAATCTTTTCTTAAAAGTTTGCTATTTTTATTAAATACAATGAATTACAAATAGAGGAATTTCTTACCTGTACAAATGGGACTAGCATTCCCTTAAGAGGATTTACGTCTTTTTCTTTCATGAAAATCATCAACTCATTTGCATATCTGGCAGCTAAAAATACAACAGAAAAGTTTTATTAAACGTTTCTAACGTCAATAAATAAAATATATGTGATAACAAACTAAGAAAGCTAACTGAATAAAAATATCAACCAGAAGAATAAAGGGGAAACAAATCTTTTCAGGTTGTCTTTTCATCCATCAAAAATAAAATAACCAAACTACCTTAATCAAACTTTGAAATGACTTTAGAGTAACAAACACACACACACACACACCACATTATCAGTAAACTACTTGTCAACTTTAGCCTTAATTATAAGTTCTGACTTTTCAACCACAGAATTTCTGAAATTGGGGACACAACACTTAAAAGTTCTATGATGTTATAAGTTTTGAAGCGCTAATACATACTTACAATTTTTAAACATATTCTCCTCATCACAAAAAACAAGATCTCAAATAGTATCCTTTTTCATTAAATGGTTTTAAATGATAAATTACTTTACAATTCCTTATATTTTAAAATTATTCATCATAGGATGGACTTACAGTCAAGTTTTCTAACATTAGACTCTTATAATAATACATATATTTTTACTGGCAGGGTAACTAATCGATCTGATCAGATCTGGTCTGATCAGACAGCACATACACAATGCCACTACACATGTTCTTCCTTCTAATGTTGGGCTTCTCAATCCAACTATTTTCTACACGTTTACTAACTGCCATGATATTACATTTTTCATAAACATTCAGCTCATTTCTGACAAACAAACAACCCTCCCCTTTTTATTGTGAAATTCTCAAAGGAAAAAATTTAAAAAACTTTAGTCACATACTCATAACCCTCATTCAACCAAGAACCAATAAAAACATCTATATGTTTATTTCACAGACTATTAAAACCAAAGCTCATTTCAAACTTTATACAAAGATATCAAATACTAATGAAAATGTACCTCAGCTTATTACTTTTAAATGCTATTGATTTATTAATATTTTTACATGGACCTTTTTCAATAATATTGAGAAAAAAAATACAAACATATAGAGAAAAGAGGAAAATTGAATAATAATAAAAACAAAAACAGGATTCAAAATTATCAACAACATTAAACAGTTTAATATCCAGTACTGCAATACTTGTTGTATTCTCAAATAAAACTGGAAACAGCAAATAATTATTCAATTTAAAAGACTGGAGGCACAGAAAATAAACTAAACATGGAAAACAAAGGAAAAACCCAAGAGCACCAAGACATGCAGAGGATTTTTACTTTGATACTGGCTGGGTTTTCCTGTATCATTATAAGAATACATATATATGCTTTATTACAAATTTGTATTCATTTCACTACAAATATATATACATACATACATATTTCATTTATGTGTATACAAATAGTTTTCCAAATTTTGTTTACCAGTAGGTAAAAAAGATTTTTTATTTTTGGTAGGCTAGTTTAAAAATGAAATACCTTTATAAGGCCTTATAAAGAAGTCAAAACTACACAAGTATACATATTCTAACCTTATTTACATGGGTGAGGGCCAAAGTATGATAAAGTATGATATTATGTATGTGATGTCAGAGCTATCAACCATTCATTGTTACCCTAAATTGCTGATTTAGTAACAAAGGTTATGCAAATATAACATGCAAACTGTACAATGTATTTATATTCTTTACATGAACATCACATTGCACTCCAACTTGTCAGAGTACAAGTCAGACTGATGTCATCAGTTCACAGATATATAATGAGTAGAAATATGTTTGTAACACATTTGATTTTTTGTGTACAACAGCCTTGTACATTTTATTACAAGTATGCCATATTTTGTATAGATGCACATAATAATTTCAGAATTATAGTCAATATTCCTTTTCCAATATGTGTACATTCAGTTAATGAGATGAGAATTTGAGTCTGCTTCATTTGTAGTTTATTTTTTTTGGGGGTAATTGTTAGCATTCAATCAATTCACCTTCTCTTTTGTTGACAAAACAAAAACCAAAGTAGTGGAATCTATCAGTTATAATTAATATTATGAATGTATACACAAGTAATTCCTGTTGAATAATGTTTTATAAGTTCATTTCTATAATGTTGACTAGTTATACTGATGACTGAATAACTTACACAATGTTTCATATACAAATGGAAGAGAATTTAGGTGATATACCAATAGTATGTAATGTTTTTTCACTACTGACAAAACAATTGATTTCTATTTTTATCAACTGAAAAAAAAAAATCTTAACAAGAATTTATAAACAACAATAAATGGGTTGATAATAAACAGTAAATTAGTTGTATAATAAAAGCAATACATTAAAGCTTACAAGCATTTATTTTTTAATACGTGAAATGAATGTTCATGTTTCAATTTCATTCATAGATGAACTACGCTCATAGATAGCAGTAAAACAAACAACATGCTAAATCAGTACCTTGTGGTTGCACCTTCTAATACTTTTAGATAATAAAAAACTCATTTTCATGCAGAGTAAACACTTTTATGAAAAGAAATAATGTTTTTATGTTTACAATTCCAGTGTAAATAAAGTATTTCAAAAACTCCCAATCTGGTACAGTTACTCCAATCTACTCTTACCTTCCATAGAATTACCACTTTTTCTTGCCTCAGTAAGCTTCAATTGCAGAATTTGCATTTGGGGAAGATTATTGTTCAACTTGGCAGCATTCTGCTGGGCTTTAATCATCAAAGGAAACATCAAAGTTCGAACAACCAAGGTACCTAATAATATAATGTTCAGTAATCAATATAGTTTTACATCAAGAAATATGTTCAAACATGACATAAATTATATCAAAAGTAAAAATAGTAATCAAATCTAAAAGTACAAATAACACATGCTTCAAAAATAGCACAATAATTTGAAATAACAATAATAATAAACAGGACAGAAAAATAAAAATAATGTATATATATATTAAAATAATCTATTTTGCAGATACATCTAAAGATCACCTTTTTTTAAATATACTTATACCTCAAACAAATGTTCAGTAGAATGCTAACTCATAAAAACAGTCACACTCAAATTATTTGCTTGTATAACCATAAACTATGAAATCAGACCTGTCACATCCTCTTTTTCACAAATTGCCAATTGTACTTTCTGACGTATTATACTATATTATTTATAACCAATAAAAAGTTAAAGTTTTAATCTATCATATGACATGTTATGTTGTTTACTATACTGGGTATTGTCTATTTTATCATTTAATTTGAATTTTTTTTTTCAATGGAATCACATCAACTAGCTTATCTGAATGATTTAAATGCTCTTATCACATAGTTACAAACCCAGTATAATTATGAAAGTTATAGAACATTATGTGCTCTGTGAGTGTTATCATTCTGTGTTCTTAGGTATGTTATTTGATTAGATAAAACATTATTTAGTGTAGTAGTATCATTTGTATAAAAAATAGGCTTAAGCTTCATCAACAGTCGACAGCAAAGAAAATAAAAGACCCAAGTCAGTACTATATTTCTTCTTTTTTATGTGTATTCTATATTTATTATTATAAAAGTAACAGAGTGATTTACAACTTATGTGGCAGGATTTATTAGTTAGACACGGTTCAAAGGTCAACAAAACAATAAAATTAAGTATAAATAGATGTATACTTTACAAGCTTTAAGCTACTTTGAATAAACAATTGTGGTGTCCTGTTACAATCTGCAGTCATTCCAACAATAAAAATTGATAATTTAGATTTATTTTCTAATTTTTATGGTGGTTACGATGTCAGTCAAACCAACTGATCCCGTATATGGTTATGGTAAAGAAAATAACATAAAATATAATGTTTTACTGAAAACAAACACTTGATATTCATTTAGATTTTAGGAATTATGCAAAAGAAAATTTTCAGATGAAGAAAAGTATCATTAATCTTAATATAAAAATAACTTTGCACTCGGAGCAGTCAACACTCTTACTCCATATATTTACAGACAAATGTTTTGTCAACTAAAAACTTGTTACATTTGTGTGCATGTGAGTATCCATTGGCAACATATTTTCAGGTAAGAAGACAATAATTCATCTCTGCACATAGTTTAGTTAGAAACCTATGGTGAGATTGTGGAGGGTCCAGTGCAACATTTACCTAGATTAGGCCCCTTCAGAAAGTGCCCAAAAGAAGCCCATTGGGTGTGACATCTAATGGCAGGGGCTCCATAGGGGCACACCTGTGAAAGACCAGATCTCACCACATCCAGGGTATACTCTTTGCTTGTATAGGAAAAGGCAAAGAAGCCTGAGTCATATTGCAGGAATAATTGAAATTGGTACATGACCATCCTGGTACTTGGACAAAAGTTGTCAGATAGCCAATATGTGTGGGAAGAGGACACTTGTGATAAGTATCCATGATCACTTCAGATCTACCATCAGACTCTAGGGACCTAACAGGAGGAGGTTATGTTAAAGATACATCACAGGTATGTATGGAGTGCTAACCTTAACCCTTCTGAATAGGCTCTGATTGCACAAGGAGGGCACAGTAATTTATTGTGTGCTCACCTTAACTGTATTGGACAAGACCCAGGCTGCAGGAAGAAGGCATGTATTGCATGAGTGATGTATCTGGGTTACATGTGTGGTGATTTGCATTACACAAAAGGTGTCATCACTGCCCGTCTTCTCACCATATTGGTACTCGTTGTTCTAGCCCCAGCGGTTACATTCCAGTTGGTGAGGACTCTCTATGGTCCACCACTCCAGAGTTAGGAACTGGTAAATGGTAAGGGTCTTCTGTGCTCCATTCAATGAACAGGGAGGAGAATTCAGATTTCCATTGGTCCTTTAGTCCAGAAAGGTCTTCTACTGGAAACAGTGTAATGGATGACTGCAAAATCCTATTTTTAAAAGCGAGCAAGCATAAGTCGGAGAAGTGAGTAAAAACACCTCCTTGATGCTGATTTTTTCCATGATAGTTTATGGAACAGGTATGGTCTCGATTGGACAATAAAGTGGATATCACTAAACACGGTAATGCATAGTATATAGGGATGAGTCAAGAAAAAAAATGGCTGCCGTATTCAATCTATTACTCTATGATACTTACAAATAACTGCTAAAGTTGAGTTATAGCCTTATTTGAGCACCTAATTGCCATTATCGAACACTTCATAGCTTATATAACAGTAATATTATTCTGTTTTTCTACCACACATATTTTTTCGGGAAATAATAAAAAGGAAAACTACTACTTAACAGTGAGTCCAGTTTATAAGCATATATTATTTCCATGTTTCATAAATTTTTTTTTTTCTGGTTGCTAGATAGAAGCACAAGTTGTTCTTATATAACAACCATTTGTGACTTTTCATACCACAAACATGATATCTGCCAAAACAATTCCAGTAAAAATAAATAAATAAAGAAACAATTATCTAAATTAATATTCAAGATATCAAGGAGATCAAGTATATATGCAACTGACAGATTTGTGCACATGTTATTGATGTCTAGTTTAAAAACACCAGTTTCTTAATTATCAAAACAATACATTCTATAGTGGTCTACTTTTCTTCAAATTTTCAGTGGGGCTGAGAATAGCAGCTGTGTGTGTATGTGTGGTACTATACTTAGTGGGATGGGATCTGTATGGTGTCCTCCCTATTAATTGACATGACCCTAGGATTTGGTAGAGTTGATTGTATGCACATGCAGGGAGTTGGGGTAAAGTTGGAAGGTGTGGGTTCTGTAAATATTTCCTAATCTCAGTCTAGCACTCTGAGGGTACTTGTACCATCCCGGAGGAACCATTCCAGCTTCACTGTCTCCAAGTGTTATCAAAAATTAAGAGAAACTGATAAAACTGATATGATATTAACAATATATATTACCATTGAATTATAAAAATAAAACAAACATTCACTTATTAACCTACTTCAACGAAATTGTTAAAAAAGAGGGGAAACAAATAATAGAAATTTTTTTGCAAAAATTAAGTATGATGTAGAAATGGCAATGCCAAAAAATACAGAAACAAGGTAGGGGTGAATACATAAAGCCATACAAAAATCACTATATAAGTAGCCAAATCTTTCCAAAAATAACTTATCTACATTTACATGTTGAATTCCTGTCAGTTGCATGAATTCAGGTTTGAATAAAAGCATTTAAACTGAATAGTGCTATACAGTCTAACAATGGCTAATATCCATAAGCTTGAAAGATTGACTCAGTATTTACTGGCTACTTACAAAGGGATTTTTAAATGGTTTTGTGTATTTATCTTTCTCTTGTTTCTGTACTTTTTGGCATTGCCAATCCTACATCATACTTAAGTTTTGCAAAATTTATTTTAATTACTTGTATATACATCACAAGGACATTTTGTAGAATAACCTATCTCACAATGGGCACACACAAAGTCAGGGCAGATGGTATTCTGGCTCGAAGCAGGCTTTAGGTAAGTATACCCTGGGAGGAAACAATAGCAACCTAGTGGAATCCTATATACAGGAAATCGAGAGGGAATAAAATGTATACTCACCTGTCTAAAGACAGTGGGTAGATTACAGAATGGCTATTGGTGGAAGTTGAAAGCTCTTCACAGATGAGATAGCTAGGTGATGAAGATAACGGTTGACAAAGGTGTGTGGGGTAGTCCACATTACAGCCCAGAGGATTTCATCCACAGACTGGTGAAACTTTGTGGCAAGAGAATGTGTAAGGTGGTAAATCTTGTGTGATGTTGAAGAGCCTACTAGTGTCCACCTCTAAAAATGTGTATACCAGACATAGGGGTTGATGGATCCATCCTGTGAGAGTGGAGGGAGAAAGATGTCTGGAAGAGAAGAGGTCTTACGGCATGAAGAGGTGGTCACAAGAACCTCGAAAGGTAAAAGTCAATGATAAGTAACCTCAAACTGCCTGGACTGAGTACAGGAGTCCATCTGGGTTGGAATGATCATAAAGATGGGTGATAGAGGGAAGGGAGATAGGTCACCTTCCCTACTGATAAAAGAGTTAGGAAAGAATGACCGGTTTGGATAGGGGAAAAGGTGTGATGGAAGTCAGTAGGAGAAGAATTGATGGTATAGACGTCTGAATGACAATGACCACAGGTGAGAAGAAGGAAATAGGTTTTCAGAGAGAGGTAGTACACTGAACAAGATGCCAAAGTTCAAAAAAGGTCCTGTATAAGATCATATAAAACCACACTAAGATACCAGTTAGGCAAATAAGCTGAACGGGAAGGGGAGGGGATCTGTAGATAAGGAAGGAATGGAACAGGGTAGAAAGGACAGGAAAAAAATATCCTGTAATATCAGGAAAGGCAAAATGTGGGAGACAATACTGCCCGATAACCAGAGATGGTAAAGACGGATAAGCCACGATCAAACAGTAAGGTAAAAAAGGAGGTAAAATGGTGTAAAGTATGTTGGTCAGAGGGAAAGTGGTGATAGATAAACTAACAGTGATAACACAACTACTTACCTTAGTAAATGAAGAAAGTGGAAGGGTGACAAGAATGAGACAGAAGGAAAGCTACACAATCTGATAGTCTGGCTTAATGAGTGATGGACCAGACAAATCTTACATACTAAGATGGATAGATGTCACTTTTTGAGGAAACAGTGATGCTTGTTGGGAGAATTCAGTTGTCTATATCAGGGATGAGCTGGGGGAGCACCCCCTCTTAGGTAGTCTGGGGACTTCCCCTTGAAAGTGTTTCAAAAATGGAGGTCTTCTCTGAATGAAGAATGTGTAAAGTGGTAAATCTTGTGTGATGTTGAAGAGCCTACTAGTGTCCACCTCTAAAAATGTGTATATCAAACAGAGGGGTTGATGGATCGATCCATCCTGTGAAAGTGGAGGGAGAAAGACGTCTGGAAGAGAAGAGGTCTTACGGTATGAAGAGGTGGTCACAAGAACCTTGAAAGGTAAAAGTGCATGATAAGTAACCTCATCAGTATAAATTGCAATTAGAGTCTATTTAGTGACGCATGGCCCCATAGTATACCCCATATGGTGCACCACATATCATTAGAACATATGGAAATCATCCTATTATTGCCCAAAAGTCCAGTGAATTCACAGAGTTAAATCAGGACTGAAATAGTTTTTTAATCAAATGAATAACAGATAAATTGAGGAGATGTAATTAAAGTCTTCTAAATTGATGTTTGCATGACAATTTAAAAGAATTGAGAACTTTGCCCATAGTTGGATTAGGTGGGTGAAATAAAAAATGAGGAGCCATGTTTGAACATGATCTTGCAATTAAATGGCTGCTGCACAAGATGAAATAATGTTGTATACAATGGTAAAATGTTCTGTAAGATCAAATTCTAATATTACTAGCAATGGATGGCTCTTAAAACAGTCGACATTGAACGGATTATTTGTTTGAAAATACCTCTCTCAGTCTCTTGACTTGTTCTGGCTTAGCACATCTTCCACTACTCCTGGTGACAACTAACAAAGGTTCCTATTGGACAAAAGGCTGCTCTTGGTGCATGTTCATCCAATTACAACACACGTAAGTTAATGAAAACAAATAGAGATCGAATGGGGAATAGGGTCTGAACATTTCAACAAGGGCTAATGCAGAAACACGTGAAGAAGATTGTTAAACTGTATACAGAGGTGAATTATCATCTTGGAAGCAAATTTCTTGCATTATTTTTAATAAATAAAATAGCAAAATTATTACTGTGTTATATTACTGTCTAAATATTCTTCAACAATCACATTCTTGTAAAAACAAAAAAAGCATCCACTCTAATAAGCTCTTATACATGATTATATTTTAAGAGAAATTTATTTGGAGCAAAGTATAATTTTCAAAAAAGCTTAAAGCAACTCTACATGATGGATTTGAAAATGGTTAAATTTTTAAGGAAATTAGGAAAATGTTGGATGACTAAGGGAATTGAAGTGTTCCAACTTATAAAAAATGGTCTAAAAAGATTCTAGAGGCTAAAAATGGTTTAATTCGACTTTTGTTGTTAGTAAAGATATAAAATATATTGCTAGGGTCTCATTAGAAATGCATATTAAGAAGTAGGAGTTTAAAAAAATTGAGCCTACATGGTTTCAGAAAAAAGTTTTTATGATTAGCCTTATAATTTAAGTTGGTAGCTGGTAAGAAAACCTACTAATCAGCAACTTTTGACCTTTATTATCACAGACCTCAGCATGAACACTGTACAAAAAAACTTACATCAATCCATAACTACTGATGACCAACAAGATGCATTTAATATACATGAAAAATTCAGAAATTAAACTTATATAAACTTGTAAGAAACACCAACAGAAACTTAAATTTTTATATAGTAAATAAAATATTAAACTCATCTATTATTCATAGCTATTAGTGGATAGTTGTAGTGATATATGGTAAACCAAATATTTATCTTACCTAATACTATTGATAACCACCAAGGGACACCTACAGTAACATGAAGGTAATCAAAGCAATTTTGAACAAGACCAACTGGTGTCCAACCTCCAAGTCCAGTATTTTCAAGGGCTGATCCTACCTCTTCAAGTCCATATTCAATATTAATGTCCTGTTTTGGCAATAAAGGTGTATCTGGGATATATCCAGGCAGACCATCACCTCCCTTATGCAACAAAAGGAAAAAAAAACATTCCAAAGAACTTTAGATAGTTTAAGAAAATTCTAGGAACTATAAGATATAACAATTTAACACTAGAATTATATATAATGCCTATATAGACCTTACTGGTTTTTTAAACTCTGTTTTTAAAATTATTTTTGCATCAAATTGCTTGTAAGTCCATGATTTTGTTGGTCACAGTCCAAAAAGACAACCAATAGAGTTAGGTGATTAGAGGTATTTGCTAAACAGTGGGCTCATTAATAAATTATGTTCAATTAAGTGATTAATACAAGCAGAAATGTAAAACAAAACAGGTTTGTACTTACTATTTTCTCTTTTTCAACCACTGCATTATTCTCAGACAGTATTACTTTTCCTATTTTCTTTTACACTGTTTTGATTTTTTAAAGCAATTTTTTAATTACCCTTGATTTCACATGAAAGACTCCTTTGAAGGTCACCATTTCTGCAAAACATCTTTTTTTGTCAAAAATAATATTTTCCTACAAGTTTTATAGACATTTCCTATTTGGCAGATGAATCGCTAATGTTGAATATGTACCACCAAGTGATTGCATTGTTTGTTTTTCAATTATGCAGTAATCCAACATTAATCTTCTATAAATCAAATAAACTGATAATTAATGAATACGTTTTACTCTCATGATAAGGATAATAATGTTATTTAAAACATGTCATGATTACAATTACAAATAATTAATTAGCCAGCTAGACAATTTACCTATGTATGTTCTTTACATAGGCCAAACATAAAAAATGAATAAAACCATATAACCCAAGCACTTTTGAAAGGGGGACCTTTCTTCTTCAGGGGCAAACTAGGATAAACATAAAATGATATTCAATAAAAATTTTAATCATCACAATATTTTGCAATCACCTACCATACTTACTAAACAATAAGTTTATCTGATTTAATGATATTTTTTTTTGTGAACATAATAAAAAACAACAACTCATGTTTACAAACATTGCAAGTCAATAAAATCATATAATATCTCTTAACCCTAGAATGCCAGTGTGGGGTCACAATGGCCCCATACAAGTTAAACCTGTATACTAAATTAACCAAACTGGCATTCTAGGGTTTAAAAGTAAAAACACCATAATCTTATACAAAGAACTAAACATTAACAAGATACCTATATTTAAGCCTTAAACAATCTTCAGTCACGTAACTTTTCCACTTTGTACAACATATATGTTCCTGTGTCTAGGTAAACTACTTGAACCAGATGATGAACATTACACATTTGTCACTGTGTTAAACTTTTAACAAGATTTTCTTTGTAACCCATTTAATCCCTCTCTAAATTGTATAAGCTAACCTTATATCATGTTACTTGACATCTCATTGAAAACAATTTCTGTAGTTTTTAGATAAAATTTAACATTCACATTATCACAATTCACAAGAAAAGAAACATTCATAGAAACTATTAAAAAAACAATATTAATCCTATATATTTACTCTATTAGTACATGATAGTCTAATTCTTGTTTTATCCAATCATACTTAAAACTTTAACTATAGCTGGTTTAAAAGCTGTGTTTTCTTTAGTACATAAACCACTTAACTAGCACTACAGATGATTTCAACCATGGCCTGTATTAAAACTAGAAGTGGAAATGCTTGAAAATCAAGAAATGGAAAATATATTTTTAGTAACAATAACATTATTTTTTGGGATTGGAAGGAAATTTCTAAAACAAAAAATTGACAAGTAGGTCGTTTTATTTACAAGCAAAACTCTTTCTAACTTTGCAGAAATTAAAATATTTTTGAGTTAAAGTTTATTAAATACTTAAATTTAACATATAAAATTGCTATAAAAATTTATGAAAAAATGCATGAAAACTTGAGAAAGATAATATTTTTTAAATTGAAAATGTATTTACAATAATACTTATCTCCTCTCACACTTACAGCTATTACCGTATTTTTAGGTGTATAAGACGCACTTTTTACTACAAA